TTTGTGAATCACATATTAAGAAAAAGAATTATCTTGATTGTAAAATTGGTAAATATGAATAATATTTTTGAGCCATTTTATTGCAAATGACTGTAGTTTGTGCAGATAAATTAACTATAGTAATTAACAAAAATTCTACTCGAGTCATCGGATGATTTTCTTATGTCATCAATCACTTAATATATTAACACCTGTCTAAAGTGTATTTATTGTAAAACACGTGTCAATATGCTATTTGTAAATAACTATAGATGACTCGTCCAATAGGTCCATAGCAACACTGTAGTAATTAAATAGTACCTATTTGCTCAATCCTAAATCCTAATTCCCCTCAAGAGAGAGAAGCGGATATCAACACCTACTCTTGCGTGAACAACCTAACAGCTTTGTTATTATTATTATTTTTTTTTTTTTACATAATTCAAACGATTGAAATTCCTTATCTAAACAGAAAGAACATCGATCGGTGGGAAATAAACTGCGGCCTTAATTAAATGGCATATGAATTTGTGAGGTGATATTTTTTGCTTCTATGATGTGATATTGTCCCCATATATAGCTTAGTTTTGCTGCTTGGTTTTACTGGTTTTTTTATTTATTTATTATGTCTAGTTTTGTTGGCATGATTGCGATCTTACTATTGGCTTCTCGTGTGCTGTATGTATGTACTCTGTTTGAGCTTTTAATCAAATTTATTTGTTTTGGTACAAATATATATATGTGTGTGTGTACTAATTGACAAGCTTCTTCACCTCAATTTGATAGTTTAAATTTGTTGTGGCATCAGGGTGCAAGTATGTTGTTCCTAGAGTGTTATCACCTTTTGAAGAGTGCCATAAGGTTTGAATATTCCTCTGAATTGGTTTTCGGGTATGAATTTGCCCTCTCCCGTGAGGAAAACAAGTTTTGCGCTATCAACGTAAAATCGAGAAGAATCCGCACGTTGTTTCGTCTAAGAAGCAAGGATATTTATAACTACTTTGCAGGCAAGGTTGACTGTGAAAAATCAATGGAAATTGGTAATACCTGCAACGGGTTAATCCTCATGCTTTATTCCAAAAGACACGTTCTTTTTAACCCTCTATCAGACAGAATAGCGTTTGCAACGCGCAAACTGCCTGAATGGGGTGGCAGCAGGTGTTGTGGCTTCTTCTACCATCCTTTTGCAAAAGAATACCGGCTTCTCCATGTGACGCAAATAGGGGAGTCTCGTTACGAGTACCACATTTACGAATTCGGGGCCCACAAGTGGAGGACAATTCTGACTCCCGAGTTTTCTCATGATCCCCCTGAAAGGAACGCGCAATTGGTGGTGACGAAAAGAGCTATGATTTGGCGGCATTTGTCTGGCTTTATGGTTTTCGACATAATTACTGAGAAGCTATGCCTGAAAGGTTCTCCATGCTTTAAAGGTTCTCCTCCACCCATTGATGAGCCTAAAATGGTGGCCAAAAGAGGTAAGGACTTGTGTTGCTGTTACGTGCGCTATGCGGAGACTGTAGTGGACGTTTGGGTTCTGGTGGACTACAAAAATTGGTTATGGGAAAGAAAGTATGCCGTGAATTTTGATTGGGAAAAGAATAGGTGCCCCTCGCAAGCATGGAGTGCTCACGTTCCTCAAGTGACGCTTATCACAAAAGTTGTCAGCATTCAAGGTAATATTTTGGTGTTGGATTTCAAGGGTGCCGGAGAACAACTGCATTGCTATGATTTAAAGTATAATGCGTCTTGGACAGTCGACACGACCAAATTTAATGGGAAAACCCAAACAACTTGGTATGGTAGGCGACGACCTCTCGACAAGCATATCGTTAGGTATGGTTTTCTTGGCTTATAGGCAAACACAGCGTACGTCCATCATTCAAAGTTCTTTTTTTATATAATTATTAAGGCTCTTTATGATCGGTTGATACGAGTTGGTTTTTTTACTTTGTCTTTTTTTTTTTTTATTTGATGATGAAACAATCAATAGCTATAACAAAAATGTAGAGAGAGGGCCAAAACCAACACACGCGCTCTTGTTCACAGTCCCAACATACCAAATTTGTTTGTTTGATTATGGAGTTACCTGCTACCTTGTGCTGTTTTGATAAATTTCGTTGGCCTTTTTGCATTTTGCTGTTTCTCCCGTCTTATTATTAAGTGGAACGGAAGGAATGAAACAAACGTGACCTGGGCATAGGTGAGATTAAACTTACCCTGTAATGTGAAAGGTGATATCTCGTTCAGGGGCAGCACCACCACCACAACAATCTATAGTTATTAAAGAAACAATAATAGTATCCAAGTTCTACTATGTTGGGTGAGCATGAAGGGTGCACTAAGTAATAATTGACTATGTTAGGAACAACATACGTACGTCTACTTAGAAACATATAACAAAATAATATGGCCAACGAGATACAACATGAACATCAACTTCTGAACATCACACTTAACATTCATGAGTTTAGTAGTAGAGTATGACATATGAATGGAATTGGATATGTTTGTGTAATACAAGCATGCACATGATGTATTATTAACTAACATTCAACAAACCAAAACAATATAAGTCCTTGTAAGATCCATCCTCATAATGTAATAATTAATACTCCACCAAGCAGATGCAATCTTGCAATAGAAAGGTTCTAAAATAGATTCCATATGTTCTAATATGGGAGGATGCTCACATTTTAGTTTCTCCAAGGTAGCAAACAAATAGCCATTTCCCAAAAATATTAAAGTTATTGTTGAACAACACCAAATTAGATGTTTCATGTAATTCTTCCAATTCAACGGTCATCCAGACTATTTTCGTATCAAATAAAAAATACAGATCAAATACAGTAGTGACACTACCATATATCTAATACAAAATACAATTGGTTCATGTTTCAAATTAATCCTCATATTTCAAAATTAGATTTGTAACAAGATTATTTGATCTATTGAGCTGAAAGCAAAAATAAAACCCCAACTTACTAAATCTTGATATCCAAAACAGGTATCATAGCAAAATAATAATAATAATAATAATAAAAATAAAAAATATAATATTAATAATAATAATAATAATAATAATAAATAAATAAAGGAAAAAGAATTTTTTCTCAATTGAACTATCAGGATTTTGGCACATCACCATATGAACTTTCTTTTTTTTGACAAACCACTATATAAACTACACGGGTTTACAATTTACCCCACATATCAGGTTTAAGCCCGGTTTCACCTGTTTGAAACTAGTTTTGAGCCCCATATAATTACTCCTCTACCGGTTGACGGTTGTCTTGCCTTTCTTTCCAGTTTCATTTCTCCTAAAAAAATTAGGATTTGAGCGAGCGCGATTCCCCTTCTCAAATTGAAATCAGGATTTTTCTCTTTGCCCCAGAATCGAAATTCATTTCACTACTTTCTGAATCGACATACGAAATCGAACTCACTGTGAGTACAAATTAGATTTAGCACAACGATGAGTTGGAAGTTGCTGCCAAAATCGAGCCAGTAAACAAAAGCTAATGACAATTGTAAGTGTTAGGTTATTTTTTACATCTCGAATCTGATACCTTTTTTCAAAATATGAAAAATCATCTTAGTTTTTTGTTTGTTTTCTTAGTTTTTTTTTTCTTTTTTTTTTCTTTTTTTTTTCT